AGAGCGACGGTGACAGTCTGTGTGGATAATTAGGGGGCAGAGGGGCTGGCCTGGGCAGGCGACTCTGTCCTTGGGGGCTAAGCTCTGGAGCATTCCCCCTCCATGCTTGGGGAGGGAATTTGGTATTTCTTTCCAGGACAATAAGAACATCTGTGCCAAGGCAGAGGAGGAGGCTGGGCGCTCCGAGGCATCTCTGCCCAAGTCTCTTGACACTATCCGATTGTTACTGTTTCAGTTTCTGCTTGGATCACTGACCGTGTCCATTTAGAGCAGGCTGGCTTGGGTGAAGACAGTGGAGGGCTGAGGAAGGACAGAGAGGACCTATCCAGCTGGGGGCGGGAGTGCGAGGTGGGCAGGAAGCTGGACTAACTCTAAAGTGACCAGGTTACAAATGAGCCTCTGCAAAGTACAGGGTGAATCGTGCATCCATAAATGGGAGGAAGGAGAGCTTCTACCGTCTCCTCTCTTCCTCTTCCGGGGAGTAATTGTTGATCAAGTGCAGTTCATTTGCAGCCTCCTTCCTCCAACAGATTGGGGTTCAGATCGATCTTGGGGTAAATGGATGAAGAGCTACAGGTTGATCTTTGTATGGGACAGTTGGCTTCACAGAGAAAAAACTGACTGATTCCTTCCTTCCAGCTCCAGTTGCAGACTGATGGGAGCCAAAGTCGAGTTTGTGGCTTTCTGCAAACCCATTCCCAGTACTGAAAAGTCTCATCACCAAGTGTGTTCCGATGGTGAGTGCAGCCGTAGCTGGCCCCCAGCAAGGCAGCTTCTTCGTTTCTTCCTCACTTAGGATGTCCAGCCCTGGAACTGGGAGTTCTGGGCACCAGGAGGAGGTAGGTGTCTGCCTCCTGCATAATGAGCTACATCAGCCTCCAAAAGCATTGATGGCCCATCCCTTTGGGCATCATGCTGTGCCTGGCACGAGCTAGTAATCCCCACCCCGTCCTGGCCCTCCACTAGTTACAACCTTAAGTCACACAGTAATGACACAGATCCCAAAGGCGGGCAGTTAACAAATGCATCCACTTGTCCGCCAATCACAAGGAACCCATTGAGTGAGGCACAGCGACAAACAGGGCCCCCTTCAAAGAGCTTCCAGTCTGGTGGGTAAATAGGTTAAGACTGAGCGAGGGCTTGGAAGAAGCGGTTCAGGCGTGGAAGCAGTCAACTTGGGCATCACCGAAGAGACTTTAATTTTTTAGAGTGCTTATCGATATGTGGCTGAGTTGCGTTCTGTCGGCTTGCGCCGCGCACTCGACCCAGGAGTGCGGGAGGGTTTAATCCCAGTCCTCCACCCGCGGGGCTCATACAAAGGACCGGAGGCAGCGTCGCCGTGCGCGGTGTGGTGGTGAGAAGTCCGGGCCAGGGGGCGGGGGCCGCGGCGCTGGGCGCAGGCTTGCCCTCTCCCTGGGTGGCTGGGGCGCGTCACTGGCCCTCGCCTGCCCGGGCCTCACGGTCCCCAGCTAAGGTGTCTCAGGGCTCAAGCGTTTTCAGGACAGTCCCCCACCCTCGTCCCGCTACCCGCGAGTCCCAAGCGCGCGCCGCGCGCTGCGGACACAGGTTTGGGGTGGGCACCGGGAGGCGGCTGCGCGTCGCGTTGTCCCCCGGGGCGCGCCGGCCCGGCCAGGGCTGCAGAGGGTCGCGCGGGCCCGTCCCCCAAACACTTCCGACGAGCG